CGCAAGTATAGTTCATGCTCGCCGCACTTGTAGGCAAAGCATAAGGGAAGCAGTAGATAACGCTCCAGATAAGAAGATAAGCACATGCGATGCCGTTGATAATAAATCCCCAGATGCCATGCATCCTGAAGGGCCCATAAGCGATGCTCTTTCGTCCACTGAGGAGATTTGGCAGAATGCATGCCAAGAATGAACAGCTGCAGAGCAGAATAAAGGTTCCGACGAATGCATTGAAGGCTGTTGTGCTGCCGACATAGATGGCGCCAAGGACTGAGACAAGAACAGCTGTGACGATGGTGGACCAGAGAGGCATGTCGAGAGACTCCTGGACATGGCCTAGCACTCCAGGGAAAGGAGTCGCGCCATCACGAGCGAGAGCCCAGAGCGTTCGACCGCAGGTGATGTACAGTCCAACGACAGTCAAGGCAATGCAGATCATAACCAATGATAGCAGTCCTGTAGCACCAGCTGCGGAGCCGGTAGCTTGGCGATAGATCTCGGCGATGGGATATGCGGATTCAAAGAGAGCGTCGTAGTCGTTGATTGCGTACATTATCGCAATAAGATAGCAAAGACCAGTAACGAAACCAGTCACGACCTGGAACAAGATGGCGATGGGGACATTTCGGCTGGGGTCAGGGATCTCCTCTGCAAGCTGAGTTGTCGCGTGAACCGATCCAACACTGTACGCTCCGTTGAGCATACCAGCAACAAAGACAAAACCATCCGGATATCCAATATCGGCAGTCCAATCCTTCCAGACAAACGCCGAGCTAGCATGTGGCGGACGACCTCCTCTTCCAGGCATGACAGTAACAGTAATGACGGTGATGATGAAACCCGCCAAGATGATGAATACACCAAACTTGTTCAGCCCCGGCATAGCACTGTTCCAGAGACAAACAGCCGCACACGATAACCACGTCGTGATGATATACGCGATAAACACATGCCACGACTCAGCCACGAAACCCGGGTGGTTCAAAGCATACATCTGAACAAGCGTATTCCCAAGAATAGCCGACATGCTAGCACATCCAAGAACCCAAGCAAGATAATTCCACCATCCCGCAAAGAACCCAATGACCCTCCCCCACTTGGGCCCAGGCGTGACAGAAGCCCAGTGATACACACCGGCAGATGAAGGGATCGCACTGGCTAGCTCCGCAACGCTCGCAGCGACTGTCCAGTAGAACATGGACACCACGATGAACTCGTAGAGAACGCCTGGCGGGCCGCCGTTGAAGATGGCGACGAGGATGGATCCGCCAATGGCGGGCCAGACATTGCCGACGACAAGGCCTACGCCTGCTAGGGAGAGGAGGTTGAAGTTCTGGGGGAGTTCTTGGACGTGGCCGGAGGCGTTGATGGGGACCTCGTTATTGGTGATAGATTTGGCCGCATCGTGGATATCGTCATCTCTCTTAGCGGTAAAGTCCGCCTTTGAAGTACTTTCACTCATATTGAAAATGGTCCTCCAACAATCTCAGTGCAAGGAAAAAGATGATGGGAGAGACAAATAGCAGGAGAAGGGGCGAGATCTTAAGTCATGGTTTATCAAGCCCCAGACCCGAGGCTACGGTTTAGCCTGTCGCATGTTCCTTCCAAAAGCAGTTTAAACGCGTTTCTCCAATCTAATCTCTCCGCAGATTTGAGGTCTTGGGCGCGGAGATAGGGTGTTGACTTATTTCCCCGACTGGTCTGGGCGCCGAATCTGGAACGTGGTTGGTGGCGAGGGTCTTATCTGATGGTTGGTCTGAGGGTTTGAAGTGTCGGCTGTGGTTTCCAAATGGGATTATGGTGTAAAAAGCATGATGGAGGTGAATTGGGAGGTAAACCGATGGATGAGATAGTGATCACGCGATGCGAAGTCGGAGCTCAAGAACAGTGTGTCACTCTGATTCAATTACACTATAGGAATTCGAGTCAAGACGACACAGACTCCTCTTCTACGAGGCATTCATCGTCGTCACTCTTGTTCTTGAGTGCCTGAGCTCCAAATCGTGAAGTGGATCAAGTTCTCCTTGGAGTCCGGGTTGACCCCAATGCAGTCTGGGGTTCTGATACGACATTATTGTGCGGGGTAATTTCTATTACTCATCGACTGGAGTTGCTCGAGTATAGGGTACTACGAGAGAAGATTCCATATCAAATGATATGATAACATAAACGCGTGGCAGAATCTAGAAAACGCTTGTTAGAACACGATCGTAACTTGATTCACTGCAGAGTTTGAGACCGTAGCCAGACGTCGTTGGTGGCGGCCGTTGTAAAGATATTGCTCCAAGTTGTACAACGCGAGCCCTTGTTAAGGGGTTGGCAAACTTTAGTGAGCAACCAGAAGCTGTTATTTCACAACTCGGTGATATGAGAAATCAAGAGTCCACGGTCAAAGCAATTGAACAATTAACTCAAGACACTGCACTAATCATAATAATATGATTTAAAGGTAGATCCAGATGGTCGCATTGCAATACTGTTCTGTCGGAGTTTGTCCTTCCTTTGGAGACACCTTATCTTATCACTGCTTTATCAAATCTTATCAGCTTATCGTATCTTATCAGCATTATCGCCTATCGTGACGTATTTTTAGAACTTCCCGAATCCCGACGATCTCTATCATCAAGATCATCCGACATATCCATCTGAGTTATGTTCTGATCGGATCTGGCATAATCTGAGTACATCAACATCTGACATCTGCTGATGGACCTTAGGGATATTCAAAGGAGGCTAGCTTTCTCGAAAAGTTCAGGCAAGATCGAATGTTGTAATCCTTCGTCTGATTTTTCAGACTCAGTAGGTATTTCCCATCGGCGAGGCAGCCCAATCATTCTCGAATCGATGCCAGCCACCATATTCCGGCTCGCTTCCCATATACAGACTATGCACGACCATATCGTAGTATCCATCTGCAGGGGTCTTACCGCCGCAAACATTACCTCCCATAGCAACGTTGAGAAGAATAGTCATCTCCCTCATTGGCCTCGTACCCTCGGGTATATCTCCCTTCATCACAGGCCTGCCATCAATATACCAGATCATTCTACCCTGACCAGGCTGTCCACCCGACTGGAGCCATGCAAAGTCATACCTGACGGGGCGATGCTGCATGTCGGGGATCTTAGTGCCGAGAACACGATGTTTGTGAGGTTCATGGTGATGACCCCAGTGCAGACAAGAGTGATTCTCAAGATCTCCATTCCACGTCTCCGCAATGTCCACCTCACCATCTGTAGGCCACGAAAAAGGCTCCTGGGGAAGAAGCCAGAATGCAGGCCAGATACCCGTCGCGCAGGGTGAAGTGATCCAGGCGGTGAGGACGCCCTGATCGCGCGAGAGGGTCTGCCGACTCACCAAGCGAGCAGAGGTATACCGCTTCTCATGGTCCTCAGAAGAATTATTCGCAACAGCTCTCAGTACCAATTTTCCATCAGGAGTGCTGTTTAGTTAGATAAAAAGTAGCTTCTTGATATAGCTAGACTTGGACATACTGGAAGGCATTTTGTTGATCGGCGGTGTAGTACTGTAATTCCTGATTACCCCAGCCATCCGGGCCGTTTCCGATCTTTGCATCCCACTCTTGTGTGACGGGGACATCAGGGCGGAACTGAGGCTGCCAGTAGACGTGGCCCTGCTGCTGGCCGCCGATGGGTTGCTGAGGTGGAGGAGGTCCAGGCGGTGGGGGATGTTGTTGTTGATTCTGAGCTTGCGGCTCACCGACTAGATTCTCGAACTCATTCTTGAGACGCTTGAGATGGTCTTTCCACGCCATGGTGATTGTGTAATATATCGGAGTGAGGGGATACACGATTGGGAAGGGTATTGAAGATTCTCCATGATAGAGAGGGGTTTAGTCAAGGGTTGATATCGTCGAGATGAGAACTTGGCATGACGTCACAAGCTTGCGTGGTTGGGTGGCTGGAGCAAGCAGCCAAGCCCAACAGCAATTCAATTCTCTATCAGTGAATACCAAAAATGAAGCTATCCAGAAATCATGGAATTTCCCAAAAGAGTAGGATTCTCCGTGGCTGTAACATTCAATTTTTATCCCGAGAACACTGAGCAAAATGGCCAGAGACACAGACCATTTCCCATCACCAGAAACACGCTGAACCGAGAATCAAGGAAGTGAAACATTCCTCGTCAGCGATTCCAAAAAATTAAGCAATTGAAGTTTCAAGACACAATCGGGCCTTATCAAGGTGAAGAATGAGAAAAGCCGGTGAATCTTTTAGAGATTGCCTGATGAGCGATCTGGGATCGGATACCGCGGTTCAGGTTTATCATCCCCTGGCGATGAAAGGGCGGAATCGGGATCCGCCGAGGCCAAGCATCAGATGGTTTGTGGTACCGTACCTGAAAATTTAATCCATGGCGAACTCCGCTGGAATGGATGATCTACATGCCATTATTTGAGCCTCACCGTAGATGAGCAAGATTAGAAAAGGTGATCATCTGTATCAGTAATAATGTGTGCTGTCCAGGCAACCTGTTTCACCTTTGAGGCTCTTGACACATTGAATGGCCTGACCAATAATTCCCGATACTGAAGAAACACGTAAAAACGCGTATGAACTGCAAGATTTGATACGCAGAAACTTAATCACCTATATTTAATAATAGCCCTTGTTTCATTATTACATGCGCATCTCATGTTCGCCCACTGTATTCCAACTCAGATCTCCTCATGGCCCGATTGCACCGCTTGATTGACGCCCCGGAAGCACCCGACCAGGGGTTCCAGACGAGGAATCATCGGACCACCAGACGGCCTCGAAACGCCGCTCTCACCACGCGATGGACTGTTATCGATAATGCAAGATACGGGGGCATTTTTGGGTGACAAGATATGGTATATAATGAACGAGCAATCATTCTCGATTTGGATATCATCACTCTCAAGCTCATTAATTACTGCTGATTGAACTGCACTGCACTAAAGTTCACTGTAATTTCGACTCTCGCTACCAAGACATTCACATCTTCACAATACCAAAATGCAACCAGTTCTCAGAGTCATGCCCACTGGTCAAAAGTAAGCCCCAAAAAAGCCCACCAAGTCTTCCCATATTGACAACACCAGGATCGTCCCTCTTCTCTTAACAGTTGGCAGCGCCACTGTAGTGGGCGGATGCGTCCGAACACAATTGAAGACACAATCACGGACATTCGACAGAAAATTCAGTCAATACAACAACGCACAAAGTGAGCAGGTATGAGTCACCTTTCTACCATGTTTATGAGTCATCTGTTCTAATGTTTTGGATAGACTATGAAAACTGTTATTCAAGAACTTTGGTTAGAGGCTTAGACTGGGAGTCTTCAAAGTACGATTAGCATACTGCGGGCACGGTATAGACATCGGAATACAGGCTAGAATGGCGTTCTGGGTTTGGTTAATATATCACGACATAATGACAATATCATGAAGAATTATCATCAACATTGAATCCAATCTCAGTCCGGTGATGCAAAAAGGATCTATTCAATGGAGGAAAACTATCTCGACATGACAACATAGGCTCTAGCTGCGTCGAGCCGACATGGTGCAGGCGGTTTAGATAGGCAATTCTTTCAGATCCTCGTGAATCTGTGTCAGAATACTAGGATGCTTCGGCTTGAAACCCATCGTAGCAGCACGTTCGCCCTTCATGAGCATGTTCGAGCCAACGAGATACTTGACTTCTCCCTCACCAGCCTGTTCAAACTCAACACTCTTGGGCGCAGGGCTCGGGAAGATGCCTCGCGCATGCATCATCTTGGCAAGCTCAGTAGCAAGATCCTTCCATGCAACTCGGCTAGTTTCCAGCATATAGAAACGGCTGTATGGGGAACCATTGGCGGGGCCTCGGGCTGCAACGTCGGAGATTTTGACGAGGAAGTCGACGAGGTCCAGAATGTGACACTACAGGAGTTAGTATAGGTGACGGATATAGAAGAGAAGTACGTACTGTGCTCAACACGGCTGTTCCCTCGCCGACGTAGGGGACGTAACCCAGAGGCTTGGCGTTGCCAGTAATAAGCTTATATCCCACGCCCAGAATAGGCGACGAAATACTTGCGCCACCATAGACAACAGAGGGACAAACGATGTAAGTGTCGATACGATCATCTCCATTCCCAGCCTCAAGAACACGTGTATCAGACTGTCCATTGAACATCTCCTTATGAATAGCCTTGATATCATCCTCATTCGCGTCATTCCAAATCTTACTATCAGGGTTGAAGCTTCCTGAAGTTCCAAAATCGATAAAATTTCCTCCACCGCTGATGTGAATGACTTTACCCTTGGTACCACGGGACTTCTGACCAGCGATGATAGCAGCGACTGGATCAGCTGTAAATGAGTTTCCAGCGTTGACGGCGATGTCGTGCTCTGCGGTGGCTGCCTTGACCTTTTCAAAGTCGGAGAAGTCGCCGACTATGACACGGTCTGCATTGAGCTGGGACTCAGATTGGGGACTGCGGACGTAGGCTGTGACGGGCCAGTCTGGATGGGCCTGCTTGAGGGCTTTTATGTAAGGAGCTGAGAACATGCAGTTAGTACGGATAGTACGAAGCCTGAGAATAGTTGACATACCGCCCACGAAGCCAGAGGCACCGAAGACAATTATTGAAGGCATTGTGATGATATAAAGTTGAGAAAGTTGTTGATTGAGTGGTTGATGATAGTATCGATATGAAAGGATGATTGTTGGACAACAAGAGTTATATCTGAAATGGTTGATATACTTGAAGAAGCAGTTTATTGATGTTATATAGATAGACGCACGTAAGCAGAGTTTTGCTTCCTCGAATCATCATCCAATGTGATCTGACTCTCACGATATCAGTAACGTTAACATTGTTCAGCCAATCCACCCGCGCCGCATTTACAAATGCACCAAAACACATTCCAAGCACCATATCGCCATATCGCCAGTGACGCAATAACCACCACGCCAGCAAAACAATCCCTCAAAGGTAAAAAGGTTCAGTCATCCAAAGTCCCACAGATATCGATCTCACCAATCCCTTATCACAGCAATTTCTAAGCCACTAGCGCACGACGCTTTGTAACTCGGCACTCGGCATCGTAGAGAGTGCGTTAGTAATAGCTGATGGATCCCCTCGCGCGCAGGGGTCTTCAGACTCTGAGTGACGCGCAACTCGGTCGCGTTATTCAATTCCTCCGTCGACCAATGTCTTCAGCCCTAGCAGGCTGAGCAAACTCCTTTTTGGGAATGGTGCGCAGTTTGAGCTGCTGCAGGTGGTCGGATAGATTACGGATTTTAGTGCGAGAGGATTTTGAGATCGTGAATTTGTGTTGGATTCTGTGGACATGACGTAGAATGCACCAATTAGTAACCTTGGGTTGTTACAGAATTGGATTCGGATGCTTGATAGTTGACGGAAGAACCATATCGTTGCAGTGTTGGACGAAATAGGAGTTTGTTCACGATTATAAGAAGCGGCCAATCGCCAGGACAAGAGAATTTCTCATCATCACAGTTCAATTCAACAACTTCATCACTTCTACAACATTCAATTATTTCAGTCACCTCACAAAAACTCAAAATATTCACCATGAGCTCTGAAAAGTACCTCGCCGGCAAGACTGCCATCGTCACTGGTTCCTCTAAGCTCAACGGCATCGGTGCTGCTACTGCTTTGGCCCTCGCAAAGCATGGAGCCAACGTGAGTACCTACTCGATCCTCACTCCGAACCAAACTTACTGACTGCTTGCAGATCGTTGTCCACTATGCAACCAGCGCTGAGCCCGCCGAGAAAGTCGTTGCTCAGATCAAGGAACTCGGTGTGCAAGCCATCGCCGCAAAAGCTGATGCATCATCTGGGTCTTTCGGTACAGATCTCGTTCGGGCAGCTCTAGAAGGCCTCAACACCAAGACCATCGATATCGTTATCAATAATGCAGGCATCGCATTCGGACACCCCGAGATCGCAGCCATCGAGACTGAGTCTTGGGATAAGATATTCCACGCCAACGTTCGGGGACCATTCCTCCTCATCCAAGCAGCAGTTCCTCACATGCCTACTGGAGGACGTATCGTCAACATCGGTAGCATCGCTGGAAAGCTGGGTATTACCCCCCTGACAGTGTATGGCTCGTCCAAGGCTGCTTTGCATTACATGTCCACTGCTATGGCGGGTGAGCTTGCTGGCAAGGGAATCACTATCAATGTGGTTTCGCCGGGACCTGTTGCCACTGATATGAGCATGGAAGGCAATCCCATTGGTGATATACTGAAATCTCGCCAGTCCATTGCAAGGGAGGGCGAGCCCAAGGAGATTGCTGATGTCGTCTCTTTTATCGCTGGTCCTGCCTCGAGCTTCATTACTGGGCAGGTCATTCCTGTTGATGGAGGTATCAACATGCCTTAGATGACCGGAGGATCTTACGTACTAAGATATTGCTGCATAGGTACTTGCTTTGAGAATAGATTATAGAGAGCTAGACTTTAACATTTTATTCCTTCTCCAGCGTGAACATGTCTATGTGGTAGATGCATGTGCTGTTAATAATTGTTAACTTTTCCATGTAGTGAGCTGAAAATTATTAGCTATGATATTTCTTTGGCCTTGAATTTTGTTGAAGCGATATAAATAGATTGATGTACGATAAGAAGACAAACCCGTTATCTTTCAGATCTTGCCGGCTTCCGGAATGATAACCATCCCTGCAGTGGAGATTCCGCCTCGTCAGGCATCCCGTCTCCATGAAACCTCCAACCAAACCTCGTAATTATCAACGGCCTCCGACTTATCCGTTAACAGAACCAATAAGGGAGCCAGGCACAAAAGAAAAAAAGCTTTTGCTACCAAGAGCTCGATAGCGATGACTCACTTGGCCTTACCTTTCAGTCCAAGCCATTCGCAGTAATTGACCTACAGTGCTCAGACCCCATTAGGCAATGGCCGACTCTCAGCCGCAGCGGAATAAGAGCGCTCGCTCTGTAGTGCGTGTCAGGTGAGTGGGCCAAATTTCATTTAATTCTGTGGTTTTACGATCGGCTTTGGGTTAAGGCTAAGTGCCGAGGAAACATGCTCCTCTGCCTGGAATGAAATGGCATTCGTTGTGCGCCTGGAGCCTGGGGAGCATGTCCCTCTAGGCCTCCAGAAGGACTCTCACTCTGACAATAACACCGTTATGTAGAGAAGCAAGTGAATGGGTTACATCTCCGCAATGAAAAGGAGCTTCTTATCTCTCCGTCACAAAACAACCAGCGCCCTGAGGTCGAAGGCTTGCAGCACCATGCATTAGCTCCCAACGCTCAATTTCAGACCCAAATTGGTGGCGCCCCTACTAGCCCAACTGCCGAATCAAATGTTTCCAGCCTACCACAGGGCTGAACAACCTCTCCGCATGATTGCTCTGGCCGCTGTTCCTGATTGGCTGTCACACGCCCCGTGTCAAAACTGTAATCTGCCAGAATGGTGATCAGAACGCCTTGATGCACGCTAGCATTATCAGGCATTTTCAGGCCTTTCAGCCACTTTTGGGTCGCCGTGAAAAAAAGAGGAAGTGACGGTGGGGGACCTGGGGTATGGAATGGGAAGTGATAAGTAGGCGAGGAATCCGCCTTCCGTTTCACATGGTCTTGTTCATCACTCTCCTTCACCGTTTCCCATCTTCTACATTCCAAACCATTTCTCGTCACTCTTTCATCTATCTCTACAGTACTTTCATACCATCAATATGTCTACCCCAGCTCAAACCAACGCTTACAACAATGGCCCAGTTGATCACAACGATCTCAATGAATGGAAGGACCGATTTAATGATGTCCTCGCCCGTCCTAGCGAGCATGTGAACTCCAAGTCGCCCGAGTCTTCTCAACCTTGGCAGAACAGCTTCTTCGGCTGCTTCAGCCCTGTCAGCCTTTGCGCGATCACCTGCTGCGTCCCTTGCGTGACCTTTGGCAAGACCCATCACCGTCTCCGAAAGAACGGTAACCTTCAAGGATACGAGCCCATCAACACCTCTGTATGTTCTCTATGCTCCTCCCTCTAACTGTTACTAACATCTGCTGTCATCAGTGTCTCCTCTTCTGGGGTTCCTCCTGCTTCGCTCTTCACTGGATCCCTCTCGCTCTCCAGCGCGCTAACCTCCGCGAGAAGCACAACCTTCAGGGCAGCTGTCTCGTCGACCTCGCCACTGCATGCTGCTGTGCTTGCTGCGATCTCATCCAGCAAGACAAGGAGGCCGAGTACCGCGAGGCTCACACATCGGCCCCAGCTGAGGGCTACAAGGCCAACGAGGGCATGACTGTTCCCGCCTAAGACATCACAACCTCGAGTCCTCCACGCCACATGCTACTCCGAAAAACACAAAATATTGTCGCGGTCTTCATCATCGCAACATCGATACCCCATCATGATTGACTAGAGGAATGGTAGCCCTTGCTGGCCATGAGTAACGCATGGGTCAAACTTCTGAATGTCAAGTACCTAATTAGAATGCTACCTCGAATAATACTTTCTTAAAACCAATGATTGCTTTAATGGACGATAAAAGATGCTCATGACTGTTTGCCGCTGACATTGCGATTGTCGGCCGCTTGCATCCTTCGCCTCTGCAGGCAATGACGTTGATGTTTCAGAGCAATCATACTGACGTCGGGTTGTGACGGCCTAGTAATGAAGCCATAATGCTATTAGTTGAACTTGCAAGAAGAAACATGACTTGTAACGGAGGGGACACATGCTAATGCTATGTGGTAAACTCGTGATCGTTGCTTAATGCCAAATGCTTCCGTGGATTGTGAACGACCCCTAAGCTGTACCTTGGTGCCCAAGCCCAACACGAGCAGCATAGACCGTACTCAAAGGCACATATTGTTTGGCGACGAGATATGGCTGTTGTCAATGGATGGAATAGGATCACGAAAGTAGGAATCCTGATGACAATATACACCCAGAATGAACGCAGCAAAGCTTCAACCCAGTCCTGGCCTCTTTATTCTTTACCTTGCCGCAGCTCTTCGTCGCTGTCCCAATCTGGAAACTCAAGGCGACTATCTGTATTTGGCCCTTGAAGATAGCCTTTCACGAGAGACAAACTGTATATCTTGGTACTGAAACTGACACCTTCCACTTCAAATGCTTGGCCGAGGCTTCCTCTGTTCTTTGGTCTGCAGACAACCTTTTTCGGAAAGGGGAACTTCTCACGCTTCGCGGCCGCGAGTCTTTGCACAACGTCGTTCGTGGAACATGTAGGCTCGCGATAGATTTCGAGTGAAACGATAGAGCGAGGAAGGAAATCCACAAATGTTTCCGCATCAGCCGGTCTGTCTGACCTCGGAGCGGAGGGACATAGTAGAATAGTACTGATCCAGAGATGTTGAAGTGCTGTAAAGTCCCTCATGATTATACCTGGCTTGGCCCGTCTGATATCGCGACTTCTGGCAGTGACATCCAGGTGGAGTACCTGAAGGGTACTCCTATGACGCCGGAGCGACTCAATCGCATCAGACAATTAAAAATTCCTAGTTGGAAGCTACCGAGATTTTGAGTCGATATCATGATGAATATGGTGATGGTAGACAAGGAACTCACATCATCATTCTGCTGCCGTCCATATCCGGCTTCATATTCAAAAGCAACCAGACCTCAGCCATGGGACGCGTCGACCTATCAAATGCTTAGACCAATTCAACTGAATGATCTCGGCCCCTCAATCGAGACGGTACTTGAATATTTCTACAGGCATGTCTAAATTCATTTAGTCGAAGAAGCTATTGTGCAATTAAAGCTGATAGATAGAATGGTACAAAACACTAAGATCTCTGTGGTGATAAGCTCTTGGCCACTAGTCTCAACTGCAAGTAACCAACCTGGCCCATAAGTTGAATAGTATACTGCAATGCCTGATATATAAAACCACAAACGTATCAAATCGTTTTCCTAATATGAAAGGGCCAGTTGAATGAATCAAATACTGACAAATAGAGCTCATACTACGAAAGTACTGCTCAACAAGGACTAGACTAACGCCAATATCATCTATATCTATCTTTAGTTCTTGTCTTGATTTATCGATTCTTGTAGACAGCTTGCTATGATACATCACTTTGATCGTCGTCTATACGAGGACAGCCATTGACTTAAAGCGTTTTGATGTCATGAAATGCTAAATTTAAATTCCCGCTGTCAGCTGCCTTGCGATCGCTGGTGAGACATAAACCATTATTGTTGGTAAGACGGCTAGGACGGCTCGATATATGCAATGATCGACACACCTAAGTTTATACGAGCTGACATCGGATTTTGCTTGATGTAATTGGATAAGAACCATTTGAATTATGTCTAACTGTGTTAGGAACTTAATCTACTCCTCAGCTGATATTGCAGACGTGGTTGGTCTAGTTACTAATATTGACCCTACTTGTTGACCCCAGATGCATTCATAAGAGCATAAATATCATCAGCGCTCCATCCTTTGTCTTTACTATCTCTGACCATCGTATAACAATCGCCTTGTTACTCGCTTGCACTAAACCTTCAAACATTAGCAAATATGCAGTCCTCTATTCTCTTCCTGGCTTCTGCCATGACCTTTATGTCACACGCCACTGCTGGACTGATTTCTCCTCGTGAAGAAGCATCTCTCGCCCATTTTGAAATTTTCGGCGATGATAACTGCACTACCGCCGAAAGCATGGGTGAATTCAACCTTTATTCTGAGGATACCGGCAAATGTCACACATTTCCCACGGACAAGGCCGTCAAGTCCGTTTACATTTCTTACATCAACGATGATAATGCAGGCAAGTACTCTCCGTGTAGTTCCATTTGATCACAAAAACTAATCAGAGCTTCGTTGGCGGTATACAGTCGGGTTATACACAGGTAAAACCTGTTCAACTGGCTCAGACAATATAGGAGCAAACTTTTGCTATGGCCGCTTTATTACCTATGGAAGCTATAACATTGTTTGAGCTCAATATTAAATGGTTTGCGAACTGTGAGATTGCCATAGGCTACACCAGTGGATATAGTTTGTCTTCACTTTTACAGTAAAGGAATAACTACCCTGCGATGAGTTCCTGCTGCGTGATGATAACTGCAAGCGTGTCTAGATGATATAAAATTTATTACCTGCTAGATAGTTCAGTAGCTAGATCAAGCTAATACAATTGCTGCTGTTTAAATGGCAAGTTGATAGAAAAGTATAAATTGCACGGCTATCTCCAGGTCTGATAAACTGCAACATGTGGGTAAATTGTAGATTTATACATAATCTAATACCTACTAAAGCTTAGAGAAGAAGATATGATCACTTATGTTGGTCTAAGATATCGGTAGAAATCAGTCTTCTTAAATGATAATAGAGATGCAAGAAATTCGCATTCTACTGTATAATTAATTGGATACTTCTATTTCAAGATAAATAAATAATACCACCTACTATACTAACGATCTATATACACTCGTCATTGCTAGTGAATAATCTTTAAACATCAAGAAGCTCGTATATAAATGGGATAAAGATAAAAATGAAGGAGCTCTCCGTTTTTATCCGATGTGCAAGGGAGCTTGACTCGTTGATTGATTGCATTGATCAGTGCACGTAGAGATAACGTCCACAGACGCGTGCAATTTTTGCACGTGGAATGACGATTAGCAAGATATCAACGTCTGCCAACAAGGGCCCTTGTGCATTTTAAGGGGTGAACAGAATTTTCACGTCAAAGCAGCGCAAGTGAAACCTCCTGAATGATAGCAGAAACGCAGCTGAATGATGAACCCGGCTAGCCTGGGCTCCATCACTGATTAGATCGACGAAATGCTTAATGGAACTCCACTGTGTTCTTGGCATTGGGCTGGTATCGTCCGAAAACCTTTATCTCTATACATCAAAGGGCAGAGAAATGGTGTAATTGGGCGTTTGAGGCTCAAAATGGTCCCGATGGTGCCCGGCAGCTAATTTTAACCCTTGGGTTGGGTTTGTTCTAATCCTTGGCCGTTGGGCGGCGAAACGGAATGACCGCCGAGCTTCGGTCAGAAGCACTCCACTCTGAACGTTGACCGTGGTGAGACTGACAGCGTCCTCGCAACGTTATCTGGATAGCATTTTGTATGGTCAGACAAGTAGGCCATGCCTCGTATCGTATATCAGGCAGTATTGACACTTGTTCATGATTATGGACTCATAAGAGGCCTCACCAGCGTTCTTATCAGTACAGGCCAGACCCCCGTGGCGAACAAAACCTGCTTGGCGACCAACATCTTGAGGCTCGGCCTTATCTCCCCCCTAGTCCCAAACTAAAAGTATGACACCGACCATTTGGAACCGGCGCCGGCGCACCGGGCCAGAATCCGCGTAGCCTCAGCGTCACGTTAGTGGGCAGCCCATCCATGCCATTAAAACCCGGCCGCTAGAAATACAGTGGGTAACCCCCTGGAATGAGCCTCAATGCCACGGCAGTTCCAGCGCCATGGCCCACTGTTATGCAGGGTTTAGAATCTTCCATCACGGTCTCATCACGAGATTCTGGTCCATGTCATGATTCGCAATCTTCGTAATGGCCCCCTTTAGGCGAGGACCACAGTGAGCCGACTAGCAGCGTTTTGCAAAAATGGCATCTCCATGGACTTTATCTTTTCTTAGGGTCTATAAATACTGCACTGCGCTACTTTCATTTCCGAATTGCTTCATCAGAACATTCTTCAATGAATTCACCATCAGCGCTCGCTACGGCTTATTAAAGCATTTACACTATCGTTCACAACACCAACGCAAAATGGATCGCCTCCGAGACCTCGAAGTCCCTTGGACCGACTCAAATACCCCCACGCGCCGAAATTCGGTCGATTTATCTATTCCTTCGCCACCGGCTGAACACGATCCCAAGGCATTTCTGAATCATCATACAGCGAAATCGGCGACGAAAGCTGATCCCTCACAACTTGAGAAGGGCAGTCAAGATGACAGCATCGACGAAGAGCCTTCACAACAACAATTGTCCCTCAGACAACGCTTGCATCATTTTACCTGGGCTTGGTTCACACTGCCCATGAGTGCAGGCGGTTTGGCATTGCTCATTCACGTACAACCTCATCAATTCCCCGGCTTGAGAATCATCGGTACTGTGCTTTACAGCATCAATCTTCTCATCTTTACGCTCTGCTGTATCGGTATGATATGTCGATTTCTGTTCAACCCCGGCGACTTGACAAAATCTGTTACGCATCATCGAGAGGCATTCCTCTTCCCAACTTTCTTCCTGGCTATCGCTTCACTCATCACTAGCACCCAGCGATATGTCATTCCCAAAGACGACCCCTCATATGTTTGGGCAACTGAGACCATCTTTTGGATCTATGTTGTTGTCACATTCATCTTAGCTGTCTGGCAATATTCGTACCTCTTTGCAGGACATAGCTTCAACTTGCAAACAATGATGCCAGGTTGGTTGCTGCCTATCTTCCCAGTCATGTTGGCTGGTACCGTAGCAACTGTCATCTTGGACACTCAGAGCCACCTCAATCCTCTTCCAATCATCTTCGCTGGCCTGACTTGTCAAGGCCTGGGCTTCTGTGTCTCCATGATGATGTACGCTCACATGATCGGTCGACTCATGCAATCTGGTCTTCCCAATCGAGAACACCGAACCGGACTCTTCATGAATGTCGGCCCGCCAGCCTTTACAGCCTTGGCCCTTATCGGCATGGCCAATGCACTCCCCAAGACCATTTCTGGAGCTGACAACCTGGCTCTCAACGTCGACACTGTCCGCACAGTAGCTCTGCTCTGCGCCGTATTCCTCTGGGCACTGAGCATGTGGTGGTTCCTTATCGCTGTTGTCGCAGTGGTGTCATCCCCACCAAAGTTCTTCCATCTCGGTTGGTGGCCGATGGTCTTCCCCAACACTGGCTTCACACTTGCTACCATCTCCATTGGCAACGAATTCAAGTGTGAAGGCATTCTCTGGGCTGCGAGCGGCATGACTGTCATTCTTGTGATCACATTTGTAATTGTCTTCTCATTTAATATGAGAGCTGTTTTTGTACGAGATATCATGTATCCAGGAAAGGACGAGGATGCAGATGATCACTAGACATTATTTAGAGCTGGGAGTAACGGTTTGGATTCGTTTGTACTATTAGAGATACCATGGGATATAGGCTTAGACAAAAGGACATAAAAGGGATTCAGAGCAACAGCGCTCATAAATAGGATCCTACCGGGATTAGAATAATTGTCGTTAATTGTCATTCTCAAACATGTCGTCCAACTTGGTGTAAATACCACTTCGATTCCCACCGGGCCAGAAGGTTCGATGTCAAAATCGTGCATCGATAGCAGGGAACAAGGATTGAACTAGCAAAGATTTTCCCTTTATCGGACGAGATTTTACGATCCTTGGATCGTAATCGCAGGGATTTGCACGGTCTTACGCTTCTGTGAAACAGGGCCGATGAGCTCCCCTTTTTTCTAAATGCGTCGATCCGATTCTCGGCGAGACTCGCTTCGGCAAAAGTGTCATTTTCGCCGACATTCCTTCGATGCTGTCAATAGCAACGCATGCTCGATTTATTAATTTTGGATAGCATTAACTAACAGAGAAATACTCAGCAACAGCCGATATCTATACATCAGGACATGCTTTTCAACAAAAGCCAAGTTTCTTTCTTATTCGTCGTCGTTCAAGTCAGCTAAGTACAGAGCTTCTTCCGGCTCGCTACCGGCACATCAGCGATATCGCATCAACGACTTCGGGAGTCACTCGATATAGAAGCTGACTCGTTCGGTAGATAAGGAATCGCATGATGAACATGTATCCAAGCACGCGATTTAGCTATCAGTAGAAATCAAATAACAAATTGAAGCACAGGGCTTCTCTTTTTACGCTTCCAGGTATAGCAGCCGTCTCATAGGACTAGATGAGCGTTGCCACATCCCAACTGGTTAATGTCCTATTTGTCTTAGTTTCGACATTCAAAAGCGAAAAGGATCATGCAATCTTTTCTCGTAATATGTAACAAACAGATATCCGAATTGCATTCAGAGCAAAAGATAATCAGAGCAGAATACTGTCTTCATTGTGAGATACTTGATGGCGACCTTTGAAAGAGTCACTCCTCGGTCACTACTCCTGATATCGGGTCAGCATCGATAAAATTTAAATAAAATCCATCGTAAAGACCACCTTGTTGTATTTGGCTACTTTATATAGAAATGAAGATTAAGGAAGATTCTTCCATCCCGTTCAAATGTCGCGGTTATTCGACCCTGACCGTGTCCTGGGGCCATGACAATATAGGATCAAGTGTGAGGACATTACATGGCTAGAGTAGTCGGGTTCTTTTGACCGAAAAGGGCTCAGCTTTCTCGGTGATATTAGCTCTCAGGTACAAGTCTCAACAACAAATAACACATCTAGCGCATAACTGGGACACTATACCTCGAGGCCCGTCCAATTTGTATATATAACACGCGTTACATGGCGCAAACGTGACTCTCAAGAACGGTTAGATGTCAGTCGGGAGCCATTACTAGTAATATATAACATGTAGGACATAATTAAGAACGTTAGCATTGTTACTCCAGCCATGAAACGGTCACTTATGGCTCGCCAGCTCATCCATGAGGATCTTGTCTTTGAGGGCTGTGATCCTTTGGAAAGTCGGGGAGAACTAAAGATGAGTCACTCGGCGATAGATAACTTGAGGAGGCATATAGTGCATGGAAGGTTCAATCTGACTAGAGATTGACAGGAGTCAGGGTATATGCCTCCAGTCAAAAAGGGGCTTTAAGTGAATTGCAAAATCCGAAGGTGAAGAGCCCAAGGT